GCAAAAACCTGTACGTGAATGCTTGTATAAGCTTTATTTATAATTGACCCAAATTGGAACCAATTAAGATGTCCTTTAACAGATGAATGGGTAAGTGAACGGGTACCTCCATATAATGCAATCTCATTCAGCAGCAAAATAAATGAGCTATTGAGCCACAGAAAGACATGGAGGAGCCATAAACGCACACTGCCAAGTGAAAGAAGCTAGCCTGAAGGGATGGCATGCCGGATGACTCCAACTATAGGACCCTCCAGGAAAGGAGCACTGGAAGCAGCGGAAGATGAGTGGTCTCGAGGCTGCGGAGGGCGAGGGGGAGGAAGGAACAGGTGGAGGGTGAAGGAATTCTAGAGCAGCGAAACTATTCTGTGTGGTTCTCTAACGGTGGATACACGACATTATGCATTTAGCAAATCCACAGAACTGGAAAATACAAAGAGTGAATCTTAATGCAAACTATGGACTTCAGTTAATAATAATGTATCAGTGTGGGCTCCTCAACTGCAACAAACATCTATATCAGTACCAGATGCCAATAACAGGGGAAGCTGTGGCTGGGGGAGTGAATGCGTGGGCACTCTGTACTTTCTCTTCAGTTTTTATACAAACCTAAAGTTGCTCTAAGAAATAAAATCTATAAAAAAAAAGCCTAGGTTCTACTCCAGAACATTAAGTCATAATCTCTGGGAGTAAGGCTCAAGAATGTGTACTTTTTAAAAATTGTCCAGGAAAACCTAATGTATAACCAGAGTCGAAAATCACTGACCTAGATTTACAGAGAAAGTTCAAAGATACAAGGCTGAGTGAAAAAGACACACATGCAAAAATTTACAGCGTTAAAAGAATTCTGTAGGAACATCTTTTCCTCTGGAACAAGGAAAAAGGAGGCAAAATTTGATAATGATATAGACCGACTTGCTGGTGAGGGAAGAAAAGCAGTTAAAGAAGTCAAACTGACTCATAAGTTAGGCTGTTTGTTGAGTCAGCTGACAGGGTTAAGAGTCAGCAGAACACTCATGAGTGATTCTGAACATTTACCATAGTACTATAAGAAAGGGACTGGCAGTAGTGGGATACTGCTGGGGGGAGGACAACATCAGCAAGATACCCGATCTCAAACTAGGCGAAGTGGAAACCAGAGGGAGGCCCAAACTTCACCCGTATGATGCCCACTGGTATATCTGATCCGGACTTGTACTGCACATCTTAAAATTTAAAAAAGGAGAATGAGAGAGACACAATGGCAATTCCAGTGAGTAAAAGAAAAATGCTTCTCCTCCCATGAGAATTGTCTACGGTTCAGCATTAAGGATTTATTAAAGAAAAGGAATACCACGCTGAGACAAACAGCTCAGAAGCCTAACAAGATTAGAAGCAAAAAATAAAAAATAAAAACTTTTTCTTCAGAGAGAGAGAGAGAGAGAGAGAGAGAGAGAGAGAGAGAGAGAGGAAAATAAATGGGAAAGGAGCTGATGGAGAACAGACCTTGGGAAACGAACTTCAACTAAATGGCCTGGTAAGTGGACTGTGAGGCAGCCCAGAGAGCCCCACTGACGCTAAGTAAAGATACAGGCAGTAAACCTGGAATGCAGAGCCAGAGTCCAGGATTTAGAAGACGAACTTTATTTGTAGCATGGACTTTTGATTTTGTTCTGGTTGGTGGGGTTGACTCCTTGCTCCTGTGAAGGAAACTCAACAAAGGTGACAGGCAGATAAATGCAGTCCTCTTAGCAGTCAGGATGTAGCCCCAAACGACCCATAATGCAGTTCTAAGCTGACGGTTTCTTCACGAGAAAGTCATGTTCAAATAACCTGAAAAAGTGCCTCTTTGGCGTTTGTAATGATTGCTCAGGGAAGACGAGATCCTTTTGTCTGCAATAAAGGGAAACGGAGTTCCTTCCTCAGAATCCAAATTTATAGTTGTTCACCAGCCTGGGAGATGCTTGCCTGGGATTTTTTGAATGCCTCAAGAACACAGGGAAAACATGAAGAAACAAGAACAATCTCATCTTACGGATCTTTAGCGATGGCTCAGGTGTCTTAAGATCATGGGGCTTATGAAATGAGCTTCCTTAAAGCAGGTTTTAATGATCTATCACCAGCTATCCACTCGCAGATGTCCAACTGTCTCAAAGACAATCACTGCCCTGAGCTAGTCATTCTACATGGCCATGTTTGGCTAGAGTGAAAGGACACTGGTAAACGCAGGGAATGGCATCTTGAATTGAGGAGGGTGGCACACTTTGGCCCACAGCCAAATCCAGTCTTCCACTTGTTTTTGGAAATCAAACTTCCTGGGATGCAGCCACATTCATTCGTTTCTGCCTTGTCTCTGGCTGACTTCGAGCGAAAATGGCAGAGTTAAGTGTCTGCGACAGAGACTACACGGACTCCAAAGCCATATCAGACACTTTACAGAAAAAGCTGCCGTAGGGGTTGCGAGGTAACCTCTGAAGTGATAGGGTGATAGTAACATCTTGAATTTGTGCTCACAATAGTAAAAAGTAGAAACAACCCAAATGTCCAACTGTGGGTGAGTAAACCAAATGTGGTATATCTACAAAATGGAAAACTATTTGGTAATTAATAGGAATAAAGTACTGACATACGCTACAACATTAACGAACCCTAAAACATGATGCTAAGTGAAAGAAGCCAGACACATACCACTTCATATTACACGAGTCCACTGATATGACGGTTCTATCAGAACAGAAAGCAGAGTAAGAAGTGACTAGATGGGCATGAGGCTTAATTTTTAGGGTGACAGAATGTACTGATAGTGGTGATAGTGGTACAACTCTGCACATACACTGAGAATCACTGACATACACCCAGAATAGGTGGATTTTATGGTAAATATATGTCAATAAAGCTACTAAAAACAAAAAAATTCATTCAAAATTTTCACGAATGAAGATAAAACGAGGGACATTTTTCACTGGAGAGAAGTATAAATTGGGCTGTGCATCCCTGTGATGAGAAATCCTAGATGGAACTGTAACAACCATGAGTCTGTCCTTGCCCTTCAATGGCCGTGGGCAATGGGGCTGAATGCTTGTGGTCTGGGAGCCGTGGAGGCCCACCGGCAGCGAGCACTCTGCACTTGGGGGAGCCTGCTCCCTGCTGCACCAGGAAACCCCAGTGGAGTCTGTCTGCACTCTTCCGCCTGCCACCACGCCAGAGTGTTTACAGCCTGAACCACAGGTGGAACCAGTTGTATCTCAGGCAACCATGCTGCCTGCATAGACATAAGGTAAAACTGTGCTAATGACAGGAGTGCACCGCTTAAATGTAGGTCTCCACATACGAGAGAAAGCTGCACACAGTCAAAGGAAGCTGCATGTGATTTCTCTGTGAATGTGGGACTTATTTTCTAGTGCGAAAAAGACAGGCATCAGCTTCACCTTTGCACTGGTCCTAGGCAGATGGTGATGTTAAAAGAATAACAGGGAAGTTACTAACTATCCTTCAGAAGCTAACAGAAGGACAACGACCTTAGAGTTTATGAAATCTCAGACACTTTTCAGTCTGCTTGAAACTGGAATAAGATACCTTGCCTGTTATTTTAGCTGTACTCTGCTCCTACCAAGTAAGGTCGTTTTTGGTACAGTGATTTGTTAGATGAGACAATTATGATTCAGATGAAGGATGTGCCAGTGTGGGCTTCCCTTTTATCTGATGAACTGGTTGTTCTGGCTGTGTGTTTACATTACAGATCGGGGAGAATCTGCTAGGCTCCTGGAGTTGCCCTTAACACCATTTTTCTCTCCGAAGAGAATCATTTGATCTTTAACCCCGACTGGGTGTGGTGGCTCAAGCCTGTAATCTCAGCACTTTGGGAGGCCAAGGCGAGAAGACTGCCTGAGTCCAGGGGTTTGAGACCAGCCTGGGCGACTTGGTGAGACCTTGTTCTACAATAAATAAATAAATTGGCTGGGCATGTTGCTGCATGCCTGCAGTTCTAGTTATTTGGAAGGTTGAAGTGGAAGGATCACCTGAGCCCAGCAGGTTGAGGCTGTGGTGGCCGTGAGCATGCCTGGGCGACAGAGTGGGACTCTAACTCAACCCCCCCACCAAACAAACAAACAAACAAACAGACAAAAAGCAGTATCCCTGGGGGAAAGTCTCATCCAAAGAACTGTGCAGGACTCCTGCATTTCTCAATTCTAAGGCAGGAAAAGAACTCTGAAGAGATTTCAGGGTATAGAATTATCAGACACAACAGTAAACCGTGGGGAGAAAAATCAGGACAATAAATTTCTCCCTCTAATTTTGTGTGTTAACTAAGAACTATCATATGAATAATCCATTCCTTAGCACTGGGGGTTGTACCCTTTTTGCTTGGCATCCCTGGCACCTTATACCACACCTCAGTAGTGGCTGAATAACAGATGGATGCTTGGACATCACCATGTGCCTTCTCTGCAGCCTCATGAATGTTGGGAGAGAAAGATGATGTTATGAAGCTCTTTGAAGGTTTGCAAGTAGTGGGAAGAAAACTGGGCTGGCAACTTGCAGCAAGACTGGGGAAGACGCTCCAGGGAAGTCTGGTGCTGGCTCTAGAGAGACAGTCTGAAAACCACAGCACCAGGAATATTATTATTTTCACTGAAATAATTATAAAAACACTGAAAGAGTAACTGCTCTCAGTGGTTTTTTTCTTTAGACACTGTGAAAACTGCAGCAAACTGTTACAACATGATTATCCTCAGAGAAGACAGGTCACACATGGAGCTCATACATACATGTGTGTATGCCCCTTACCCAAGCAAACACACACACTTCCTGAGAAGCCTCGCAATCTGTTATGCTGGCAGACGGCTGGCGTAGCTCTCCTTCTGAAGGCTTTGGGAGGAGCAAGTCTCGCATTTTAGGAGACGGGCCCATCGTGCAGGAACACGTGTTTGGAAAGCAGTGACTGAAATAATGGTAGCTTCACATACAAAATATCAAGGAAAGTCTGCTAGGAAAAAAAAGGCTCCCACTTCTCTGATTACCTTAAAAATGTGTGCTTTGAGGATGTGATGTCCCAGTTCAATAGTCTGCTGTCGGTTTAGTTTTCCCTCTTGACGAGAAAACCAGAAGGCAAGTAATGTGTGACCACTCCTGCAAAGAAAAAGAGACTCATTGGAGACGTTCTGATGCCACAGTTCTGCACCGGGTGGGGCACTGTTCAGGTCCAGCCATCCTTCCAGCAAAACTCTGTCTCATTCAACCAGTTTCTCAGGGAAAGGTATCTGCTCTGGGCAAAGAATGGGAACTGCAAGATTCCTAGGCAGTCCTTCATCCAAATCACATGTATAAATATCACAAAATGCCATTTCTAGGAGGCTTACACACATCCCACACCCAGATGGCGTTTTCATTTTCTGTCTCTGTCAGCAACTCTTACTTGGCTCATGTGCAAATGTCAGTGTAGATTAGGGTCTCATCTTTGGTCCCGTTCTCTCCTGTCTGGATTAGTGTATTCACCCTCAGAGCCTTCACCACCACCTAGATCCTGTATCTGTGTCTTTTTCTGGACCCCCCTTCCGGAATTGGTTGAAAATCGTGCATTTATTCTCACATGCCCAAACGTCAATCACCTTCCAAGTGTTCCCCACTGGATGCAATACACCTACCGAGATGCTTCTCCCACTGCTCAAAACAGCTTTTGAACTCGTCTACTTGGAAGTCTTTTAGTGTTTCTGCCACTTTTTGTCCCACCTCTTCCATACTGGCAAAAGGCTTCCCTTAGAGAACTTTTCTCATCCAGGAAACAAGAGAGCGGTTAGGGGCAAGAGCAGGTGAACAGGGAGGGTGGCTCATGCCACTGTGGGTCCAAACTGCCGAACACTCAGCATGCTGTGGGCAGGTATACTCGCAAATAACCTATTATGAAATGGCAGACATGTTGACTCTCCAAGAAAAAACGAACAAGCTGACACAACCAAGCTGGCTGGTCCACTGATGCCGATGGGCTCCCAGAACGCCCTAGCAGGGGAAGCCTGCACTATAAGGGGCCCACTCTCCCCCCCAAAACTCTGGGTTTTTTGGGTCCCCCTTGTACTTAAGTATTAATGTGCTCATGCATATGTATGTGCATGTGTGTCTGATTGTGACATATATGTATGTTTAGAGTTTGCATGTATTTCTATTTCTGAAGGACATCTGAATTATTTATATTCTCCGTATTAACTGGCACAGTCCACTGCATATAAAAATGCTCAATAACATTTGTTTAGAAGCCTGAAACTTGGCATTAAAAAAAACACTGGGCTAGGCTTGGTGGCTCAGCCTGTCATCCCAGTACTTTGGGAGTCCAAGGCGAGTGGATTGCCTGAGCCCACAGGTTCGAGACCAGCCCAGGCAACTTAGCGAGACCTCATCTCTACAATAAATCAAAAATTAGCCAGGCATGGTAGTGCACACCTGCAGTTCCTGCTTTTTGGAAGGATTGCAGGAGCGGAGCCCAGCAAGTCAATGCTGGGGTGGCTGTGAGTGTGCCACTGCACTCCAGCATGGGCAACAGAGTAATACTCTAACTCAAAAAAAAAAAAAAAAAGAAAAAAAGAAACAACACTGGATACCTATGGGATGTATCCTCTTATATCTGCAATGGCCTCTAGCGACTGTGGACACTTAGAACTTTCTCCTGCCCACCAAACTAGTAGTCAGTCGGCCTCTTTGTATCACTGGTAACACAGCTCTCCTACTCCTTCTACTTGGAGTGCCACAGAAGACAGAAATGAAACCATGGTCTCAGTTTCAAGTCAAATGAATTAATCAAGCAGTAGACCAGTAGTGAGTGAGCTTTTGCTGGTGATGCTTCCATCAAATGAGGTTCAAATGTTTACTGGAAGATTTTTCTCTCATACTGAATACTGACTACTTAGCTAGGTTTAAGCTGAAGACATCTCACACTGAAATCTGCAACACAAATATTCTTTATTTCTTGATTTTTTTAAACGCTTGAGAAAACAGCCTGAAGCCTAGCCTTCACTGCAGCTGGCTAGAGATGGCAGCATTTGCTTCTGGAGCTGACCGGGTCTGAGAAGCTGCAGGCCATGTGGGTCAGGGCAGGTGAGGGTGGTGGCTGTGGCTCATTTCCCTTCAACACAGGCAGCGGCGTGACAAGAGAGGCTCGGATGGGTTCGCCAGGCAGCAAGCGCGTGATGTGCTGGGCACGGGGCATCAGCGGTCAGTGCTAGCCCGAGATTTGGCATTGCTCTTCGTATGCGGTAACTCTCCCGCCATCGCTCCCCAATGAGATGCACTCTGAAGCTGGCGCTTTCCCTCACAACCGTCCTCCTTATGACTTCATTTTTTAAAACGAAACCTGCGTGCTGTTTTTCTCCTCTCTTCACACTCACATGAATGATCCAGGAGTCTTGTTCTCTCCATCTTTTCCTCTCTGCTGGCTCCCTGGCCCTTCCCAATAATCTACATTGCAGAAATCTATCAAAACTTTGCTCATAATCCTTCACTAGTTTTACCTCCCCTTTGATGCACAACTGAAATTCCTAAGCATGGCAGTCAAAGGTCTTCCATAATTTGCCTCCTGTCGACCTGTCTTTACCCCCTCACCTTGTACCTTTAACTCTAGACACAGTGAATTACCTGGAGACTTTCCCTCTGCCTGGGATTCTCCTTCCTATGTAGTTCATCAGAAAAACTATCAAGTGTCGGCTCACGCCTCTCCTCTGGGAAGTCTTTCCTGTGCCCCCCATGTGTCCCTGCTGTACCTGGCACATGTCTCCCTTACAGTGCCCACTGCAGGACACTCAGCTTTCATGTCGGCCCAGTAGACTGTTGGATAGAAGCCATGCTTGCCCACATATGTACTGCTAGATAGTAAGAGTACCTACAGAGGGTGCCAAAAAAGGGCACACGTTTTAAGGAAAAAACTGTGTTAAAATTGTAATACTCAATATATTCCTATTACAAAAGATGAATACAAGTCACATTTGACTTCTGCAATTATAGGAGGTACTCAAAGTGGTTCACATCAGCATCTAGACACTTCCGATGATGGTGAACATCTCTTAAATGTGTGAACATGTTTTGGCACCCTCAGTATTTGCAGCATGAGTGAATTAGAAATACCATCTCACACCTGCATACTACCTACCTTATGGTTTCCAAAACACCTTCATAGTTCCTAGATTCTCACAAAAACACTATACTGTAGGCATGACTGTAAATAGTCCTCCTAAAATTACTCCAGCGGAGGAAAAGCTGAGACTCAGCAAGTCTGAAGGACAGATTCCCAGCTCACATGGCCAGGAAGTGAAAGGGCTGGTATGTTGACCCAAGCTTTTCCGAAATCCAGTTCTGCCGAAACCTAGTTCCAGGATCACATGGAGAAATTTAGCAACCTGGTTTCTGTTTCAGAGCACATTTGTGTTAAAACAAGCAAACAAACAAGCCAACCTACCACTGTAAAGAGCAATGCGTTTTTTTGTATGGTATAAACTCTGAACTCTTACTGCAGTTAAAAACAGCAACCATACTTTTGACATTTTTTATTGGCATTTTGGGAGAAGATAGAAAGAAATAGAGATTGCTCTAATAAGCACGGCATGGTTTTACGTGTGAGTGAACACAGCCATGCCATCCTTCCATAATTAAAAATGATGGCTATCCTAACCAACTTTACCATGGGCTCAGATGTGGTTATAAAGGCCACGGGGGGAGTGGTGAAGGCAGAGGGAATTAGTTTCACATAGCTTATATAATGCTATCACCTTGGGATTCTAAGTTACTTTGCAAATTTCCCTGTCTACATTCAGAGTTGACTCTTCATCTTGAAAGTCAAACAGACCTATGTTCAAATTCCATTTCTGCTACTCACAAGTTTTATAACCTAGGACAAGAAATTTAACTGCCTAGTAAGACAGGATATAACAATATCTCTCAGGATGATGGTAAGAATTAAGACATATTTAAGCCGGGCTCGGTGGCTCAGTCTGTAATCCCATGCCTTTGAGAGGCTGAGGTGAGTGGATTGCCTGAGCCCGTGGGTTTGAGACCCACCTGGGCAACTTGGCGAGCCCTCAGCTCTACAATAAATCAAAAATCAGCCGGACGTGGTAGCGTGTGCCTGTAATTCCGGCTACTCGGAAGGCTGAGGCAGAAGGATCGCTGGAGCCCAGCAGGTCGAGGCTGCGGTGGCCGGGAGCGGCCACTGCACTCCAGTCTGGGCGGCAGAGTGAGACTCCAACTCAAAAAAAAAAAACAAAAAAACAACAACAACAACAACAAAAAAACTAAGACATATTTAATGAAATAGACGATATTTCTTTTGTACCCTGCGCAGTAGCCTAGGAATGACCAGTAACCAAAAATGACTGTCTAAACATATGGGAAGATGATGATGTGGTTAAAAAAAAACTTTAATCTTTAACATGTGCAGCAGGTGAAGTGTGACCCCTCCATACCCCATCCCACTACCTTTGCAGCCAGAAGAGAAACCCCTAGATCAAGGATAAGTTCCTGGCATGTGGATGCCATTCACGTTAGTCAATGCAGGAAGACCTGGAGTGTCACCTCAGGCAGAGAGGGGATAAGGACAGAGTTAACCGGTCCCTAAAAAACACGGTGGAAGTTAAGCTGACAAAAGGAACACGCATTCCTCAGGCAGACCACAATCCAGGACAGTCAGTCTTCAATCCAAGGGATTTCGGGAGCATTGGTCACACAGGTCAGAGCTGAGGCCCCTCTCCCAGCACTGTCTTCTCCCTCCATTCCTGGACAGCCACACAAGCTTAGACAAAAGCCAGCGATGGTGGCGTCTGAATACTGGAGAGTAGACACTGCCTCCAGCTCATCTGCAGGCGTCAGCAGCCCTTGGTACAAGTTGCTGGAAACATGCCGCTCACTCTGGATAACTCTGGGCAACAAGGCCGTGAGGACCTACTGGCCTGGAAGGCCTCATTTCTGCACCTTGGGAGTTCAGAGTCACAGAGTCTTCTAGGGAAAGACCTCTAAAACAAGCCTCATTTCCATGCCCCCATTTAACAGTCTGGAAGCAGGGTAGCAGTTGTTTTACACAAAACATACAATGGTGCTACGTTTGTTTTTCTAATAGATTTTCACTTCACACCCCAGGGAAGTAGCTAGTCTTC